GTGCCTGGGAACCCAGTTTGTAAACCATTGCTCTAGGCCAGAGGTCAGCAAGCCTTTCTGCCAAAAGCCAGATAACAAATATTTTAGACTTTGAGGACCATGTAAAGTTTTTGTTACAACTCTTTTTGTAGTGCTTTATTTACTTTTTTAATCCTTTAAAAATATGAGAACACTTCTCGGCCTAGCCAGGTGGCTCATCTGGTTGGAGTGTCAACTCCTATACCCATGGTCAGCAAACTGCAGCTCTCGAGCCACATGCAGCTCTTTGGCCCCTTGAGTGTGGCTCTTCTACAAAATACCACGTGCGGGCGCGCACATACAGTGCAATTGAAACTTCGTGGCCCATGCGCAGAAGTCGGTGTTTTGTAGAAGAGCCACACTCAAGGGGCCAAAGAGCTGCAAGTGGCTCGCGAGCCGCAGTTTGCCGAGCCGCAGTTTGCCGACCACTGTCCTATACCATAAGGTTGCAGGCATGATACCCAGTCTGGTCCTGGCACATATGGAAGGCAACCAATCAATGTTTCTCTCCCTTTCTCTCTCCTTTCCCAAATAAATAAATAAATACTAAAATAAGTAATAGAATAAAATGTATCCTCTTAATTCAGGGGCCAGTACAAAAACAGGCCACAGGCCAGATTTGGCCCAAGGACCATAGTTATCCAACGCCTGCTCTAAGAGATGTTGGGGCACACAGATTTGAATGCAGAGTGAAGGATAGGCTGTATACAGTGTACCTCTGTGATCATGCCTACTTCATGTGCTGCCACTATCCTGCCTCAGAAAGGTGTTTGGGAGCTTTATTGATGGGCATGTTAGTTAATGAGCCATTATAAGATCCTGTGTTTAAACAAAGGCCAAAGAGAAGGGGGGAAACTGGAAGCATTGGTACATTGTGCACTGGGACCCGTCCCAAAGCCGAAGTCTAGTGTGTGTCGCTTCTGTCTGCTTGGTGTGATTAGCGCCTGTGTTAGGGTCAGATGCTAAAAGAGCAGTTCACATCCATGGCTGCTCTGACCAGTGATGTGAATCGTTTTATGGCTCTGGGTTCTGGCCGTCAAAGCAGCATTTCCCCATTAGAGACCTAGTAATCATGTGGTCCCTTTTTTGGAGGTGGCATGGTGAGCCAGTGCCCTCTGCCCCCGGGGCTGGCTAGAAGCAGCCAGCCAGGACCCCTGGTCCCTGCAGAGGCCAGGCCCCTCCTCCTGCCGAAGGCACTGCAGGCCTTGCGGCATTTTATGTGCACCAAGTCCTTACTGAGCTGCTGAGATCCAGATAAAGGGCTTAGGGAAGGTTTGAGAGGATAAGCCATGCTCCCTGCCTCTCGGACCGAGACCCCGCTGGGGCGCTCTGAGGCAGCAGAGCAGAGCGGCAAAGAGCCTGGCCACTGGCTGCCTGACGAGTTCCAGGTTCTACCACTCAGCTGTGTGATCTTAGGCAAGTTGCTTAAGGTCTCCGTGCCTGAGCTCTCCCATTTGTAAAATAGAGGTATTCGTCGTAGCAGCTTTTGTAAATTTTACATGAGTTTATGTGTGTAAAAGGCTCAGAGCAGAGTTAAGCACATTGTAGGGTGAGCTCTTATAGTGAAGAAATCTCATAAGAGAAGATGATCAAAACTGTGATTAAGTATCTCAAAGAATCTTCTAGACCAGGAGTCAGCAAACTACTGCTAATGGGCAAAATTCAGTTTGTTGCTTGTTTTTTTATAAATAAAGTTTTAGTGAAACAGCCACGCCCATTCAGTCTGGCTGTGTTCACTCTGCAACAGACCATGGTCTGCACAGGGGAAAATATTTGCTATCTGGCCCTTCACGGGAACAATCTGCCAACCTTTGTTCTACCAGTGATGGCGAACCTATGACACGCGTGTTAGAGGTGACACGCGAACTCATTTTTTTGGTTGATTTTTCTTTGTTAAATGGCATTTAAATATATAAAATAAATATCAAAAATATAAGTCTTTGTTTTACTATGGTTGCAAATATCAAAAAATTTCTATATGTGACACGGCACCAGAGTTAAGTTAGGGTTTTTCAAAATGCTGACACGCCAAGCTCAAAAGGTTCACCATCACTCTTCTAGACTATAACTCCTATGAGGGATCCGAGAAGCTAGTGATCAGTCCATGCTAGAGAATCAGGAAAGGTTTGAAAGTGTCCTCCCACTCAACATTGTCTAAGCTGAGGGCATATGCCTGGCATGCCAGCAGACACTGGCAGTAGAGAGACAGTGAGATGTGATCCTGCCCTTCAGGGAGTTCGTGGTGTAGTGGAGGCCCAGGTACACAGATGAGTCAGTGCTGCAGGTAAGTACTGACAGAGGTGGGAAGAAGGGGCCTCAGGGAGCACATGGAGGACAGAGGGCTCAAGGATGAGGAGACATTGCTGGGGGCCAAGAGAGAAAGGATCCAACATAAGGGTGCCCAAGAGCTCCTGCAGTGGGAGGCCAGCAGGGAGCAGATGCCCAGGGCTCCTCCCCATGTGTGTGTGGGGGGTGGGGGCATGGGGCAAGGAAATGGTGATGTCATCCTGTAGGCTGGACTGGGAGAGTGAGGATGCAAAGGATAGTCTAGCCTGAGCAGCTGACCCCAGGATGATGACAGTAGCCAGCAGGGAATATGGGAGGCAGGTTTGCCTGCTCAGTGGGAAAGCTAGAAGGGCCCCAGCATCCCATCGCTATTGACAGTTACAGTCCATCCCCTTTCTAAGGACCCCGCTGCTGCGGTATTGCCATGGCCCTGAGACCCGTCTCTGGTTTCCCAAGGTCCCCCAACGCTGTTGCTCCTAAAGCAGCAATTTCACCTCATACCTTTGCTTACAACTCTTCCACAACCCTCCCTTGTCTTTAGGGCAAAACCCAACCCCTTAGCATGACAGACAGCCCTTCCTGGGCCGGCTCCGCCTACTTCTCCTGCGTCACCCCCACCTTCCAGTAAACAACTCCAGATCTACCAGGAGTCTCTGGACAAGTCCACGTCCTCACCTTTGCCAGGTCACCTGATCCTCTGCCCGATTGCTCTCCCTTCCTTAACCCTGTACTGAGTTCAGTTCACCTCCCAAACTCAGCCTGGGGTTCCTTTCCTCTGGGAAGCCTGCTCTAGCCCTTCTAATTAGTGGTCTTCACTTCCTGTCTGTCCTGTCTGTCCATGCTCAGGGATGTTCTTACACAGAAATGCTCCTCTCCGTGAATCCCATGCCTGTGCGAGGGCCCCGCCTAAGTGGCATCTGGGCTCATGAGTGAGTGAGGCAGCTGTTCACTTCCAAGGCATCTGAAGGCACCTTGGGGTGAGGCCCTGCCGCCCCCCTGGCAGTGTGTGGGTGCTGGGCTATTTGGTTTGGATGGAGGAAACCTGCACAACCAGGAAAATCTATCCACAGGATTTCTCTTCTCCTTGGTTCATAGAATAGAGAACTAAGCCGCACCCCCAGCCTCCCCACTGGGAGACTGAAGATCTTCCTCAGGTTGAAGCCAGGTTGCCAGGGACAGAAAGACCCAGATTAGACGGTAGCCGTGGTGCCTCCGTGGTCCTGTCTTCACGAGTGGCACCACCACCCATCCACCCAGGTGCTCAAACCAGAAAACTGCAAGTCATCGTAAAGCCCTCCTCCCCCTCAACCCCACAGGCATGCGGTCACCAAGCTCTCAGTGTTGCTGGGACCTGTGTCTGTCCCGTCCCCATCCCCTCCTCCATCCCTCACCTGGACCCCCACAGAAACCTCAAGCATCCTCCCCACCTCTGGCCTCACTCCTCCCACATCGGTTCCCACACGAGCAGCCAGACTAATGCTTCCTCAAGCACCTATATGTCCCTGCCGCCCACTGTTTAAAACTTCTGCTCCTCCCTCAGAATGAGCCCCAGCTCTGCAGGGCAGGGGAGGTCTTGAGACCCTTCGGACCTAGCTCCAAGCACATCCTATAGTCCTGGCCCTTCTAGAGTCACCTCCTTGCACTAGAGGGCCAAGTACATTGTCCTCCACTCCCAGGCAGGGCAGCAGCAGGTGTGTTCAGTTTGTGGACTTGCCGTGGACTGACACTGAGTACTTGTTCTGGAATGTTCCGTGTCTGCCACAGCACAGGCCTTGTGCACCCAGGCAGGGCAGCAGCAGGTGTGTTCAGTTTGTGGACTGACACTGAGTACTTGTTCTGGAATGTTCCATCTCTGCCACAGCACAGGCCTTGTGCACTTGACTCTACCCATCCCTCCCTCAGCATCCCCCATTGGCTGGTCTTCCACCCCCTCTGGATTCTCAGATCCTCCCCCCCATCACGAGGAGCCTCCCTCCTGCCTCCACCGCAGGACAGTGAGCCACATGCCCCTCTGCCCTCCCCCAGCCCTCGCATGGGGTCCATCACCCCGTGTTGTGGTTGTCAGTTTGCTTCTCTGTCTCCCCTGCTCACTGAGAGCAGGGACTGTGTTAAACCCCAATGTTGAAACCCCATCCCCTAGCCTGGCATATGGTGAGTGCTCCATAAATATTTGTGGAAGGCAGGACTACAACAAGTAAGAGAGAAGAATCTTGTCGAAATCTCCTTCCTGGACCATTCATTTATTCAACAAATAAACAGAGGATGGAGAAAAGCAGGCAGAGAGACTGAGAGAAGTCTGCAGGTCCCTGGGGGCAAATAGCTGAGATTCCACACGTGGCCTGAAAAATTGCCACCTCGCCCATGGGGGTTCCTGTGCATTAAAGCATGAAGAATGAGTCTAATCATCTCAGAGTCGGCCAGATGTGCCTGGTGTTGCCATGGCAGCCCCCAGAATTGGGCAGATGTGCCATGAGCATCTTTGGAAAACATCAGGGGACCCCAGAGACTATATGGCCTGGAAGGAAATAGTTCACACTCAAAACGCGGGCATGAAACTGCTCAGTGTGGATTGAGGGTCGTGTAGGATGGTGCCACGGGGACTCTGGGCATCAGAACATAACGAGGAAATGTCTTCCTGTTCTCAAGGCTCTCCCAGCTGCCCCTGTCTGCTCCCTAACCCCATGCTCCCTCCCTAGGTGATCAAGCTTGCCTTCGAGGAGTTTGACTTGGAGAGGGGCTATGACACCCTGACGGTCGGGGATGGTGGGCAGGACGGGGACCAGAAAACGGTCCTCTACATGTAAGTGAAGTAGGCATTCAGGTAGGAGGGCGGGAGCACGGTACCTTGGCTGAGGGTGGTGGGATGGGCTTGCTGGGTCTTGCCTGGTCCCCCAGACCACACTGTGACCAGGACAGGTGCCCTGTTATGCTTCTAGTTTCAGCAACAGTCCCTCCGCCTCTCTTTACTCCAGCCAAGGGAAACAGCACTGGGCCACATTCTCACTAGGGATTCACAGGAAGTGTACAGAACAAGCAGTTCTAGGGAGCAGGGAAATAGACATTTTGTGGCTGTCTGCTTCGATGCAGACTCTCCTGCCACCCAGCAGTTTTTCCTCAAGGCCAAGTATGTCCGTGGTGGTCTCACTTCAGACAGAGACATGAAAGTGCTTTGCTAACCTCCCTGCCTGCTCTTAACTATCTGGGAAGTGGGTGGTTCTAGAGAATTAGGACCACATGGACATACACATTCTCTGAGTCCAGAAAGGTTAGCATCCGTATGGTCAGCCAAGGGAGAGGGTGCTAGCGGGCTCTCTGGGGTTCCATGACATTGGGTCTTGGCTTCTCCTTTGCCCACCACCTGTAGCCTGACATGCAGCAGGAAAATGCTCTTGTTTGATGCATGTGGTCCAGCTTCAGAGAAACAGACAGGCCTGACCTACCTCGTCCATCTCCCCTGCCAAAAAGAAGGGGTGATTTCACATATGCTGAGCACCTACTATGTGCCCAGGCACTGTGATGGGAACTTTCACATCAGTTATCTCATTTAATTCCCACAACAGCCCTGTGAGAAAGGTGTTATTATCCCCGTTTAGTAGGTGGGGAAACTGAGGTCCAATGGTTGCAAAAGATGGTTGGTGGTAGAATCAGCACTTGAGTTCGAGTCTTTTGATTTCAGTGAGGGATAACATCCCTTGCCATACCCCCTCCCAGCCAGGCTAGCTCTAAGCTAATACCCTCTGGTTTTAATAATGAATGAAAGATAGCTATTCAGTAATAACTAGCTTGTCCAGGAGCTGTTCTGTTCTGGGAACTTCCCACACTTTCTCATACCTGCCTGGAGAAGATCCCATCAGGGCAGTTAAAGGACTCATGATGTTACCCACCGAGTCAGTGACATGGCTAGGACGTGGGCTCTCTCAGGAGAAAGGGAGAAATGTGAGCCCTGCCTATTCCACTGTATTAATCAGGGTTCGCCAGAGAAAGAGAACCAATAGGATATATATAGAGAGAAGGGGGTTTATTGTAAGGAATTGGCTCACATGGTTATGGAGGCTGACAAATCTCAAGATCTGCAGGGTGAGTCGGCAAGTTGGAAACCCAGGAGAGTGATGATGCAATTGTGGTGTGGAGCCAGCAGGCTCAAGACCCAGGAAGAGCTAATGTTTCGGATCAAGTCCAAGGCAGGGAGAAAACCCCCACAATGTCCCAGCTGGAATTCAGACAGGAAGAATCTTCTCTTAATCAAGGGAAGGTCAGCCTTTTCGTTCAGTTCAGGCCTTCAGCTGATTGGATGAGGCCCACCCACAGTGGGGAGGGCAATCTGCTCACTCCATCTACCATTTAAATGTTAATCTCATCCAAAACCACAGACACACCAGGAATAACATCTGGACAGATGTCGTCGGGATACCCCAGGGCCCAGCAAATTCAGATAGCCATCTCACCCACCTCTCCCCTCCTCTTGGTGCCTCCCCACCACTCACCTGTCCTGGATCGCTGACCTATATGGTGTATCCGCTCAGTGTGCCCAAGAGGTCCTCCCACAACCCCATGTGCTTTTCCATGGAGAGAACCTTAGAAGAGCAAAGCTGAAAAGACTCTTGGGGATCATACAACCCAATCTCCTTCTTTAACATGGAGTGGGAAAGCCCAGAGACGCCCAGCATTTGCCCAAGGTCCCCCCACAAAGAATGGCAGAGCCAGGGCTTATACCCAGATCTTTGCACTAATGTAATGTGAGTGAGCTCCCAGCAAGTCCTGTAGCAGCCCAGGGACTCACCCATCACCCCCGGATCTCTTTAGGCCAACGTCCATCTCAAACCTTCAGGGAAACACATGCAACATGGTCAGGCTCCTTTGTTGTCCCAATTGGGTCAAACAGGAAAAGCAGCGGCCTTGGCTTCTCTCTTGCTTCCTGCCACCCCGGAGTCACAGCCAACCCTGGCCTGGCCTCAATCTACTCGAGTGAGAGCCCCCAGATCAGGGATGTCACACAGGCTGGGCTGGTGAACCCCAGGTGGTCTGTCCCACTCCACCCCCATGGCACTCATGTGCTGACCATCTCTCTGCAGCCAAGTCAA